CGGCTGTTGTTAGGATTCCGATCGCAACGAAAGACCTCGTAGTCAGGACCGAAGACTTGACTGGAAAGCGTTCGATAATCGAGCCACGTTTCGCACAGGACAATAATATCGTAGCAACGATCCGATACAGCTAGGCGGTATTCTTCAACTGTTTATAGGAAAGTTTGAACATACTGAGAGGAGGTGAGGCCGGCAGCTCAAAATGTTAGAGTCATACTGTACTGGACATATTTCAGCATGTAAGATGAACAACAAAAATGAGCTGTGTTTGTTCACATCGACTGATACTGACTGGTTGCGGTACAAGCACATATCGTCGATAATAGACGATTGTTGTGTATCAGAGAACGCTTGCGCAAAAAGACTAGGGTGGGGAACGGATTCGAAACTCAAATGTCATTAGCCAAATACATCCGTAGACCATAGGTCCACCGTTGTATAATTGGCAATGCACCCGTGTACTGAATGGGAATTGTGGGTTCGAATCCCACCGGTGCCCTTAGATTTTTTCGCAAATTTTCTCACACACATGTCTCTTACCGATGATATGTGCTTACCTCTCAGTATGTTCAAACTTTCCTATAAACAATTAAATTGACTGCAAAGTCGCTAAACCGTATTCTTCAACATCAGAATTCATTCCACCGGCGTTTTGGTAGAAGATCACGACGTCCTGCTTGCGGCAAGGAATCGAACGACTGTTCTCCCTGAAAATCACAGATACATCAGGCAATAACTGACCATCATCAAGTCTCATTGGATACTCGCCATAGTGAGTGGGTTGGAAGACCCCCTCTCCGCATCCGACAGCAGGTCCGGAACGACTATGATGAACGAAGGCTGCTGATGGCAGGACTGAGACGGAGGGATTGGGGGCTTCCATGGGGCTTTCTACGGCGCGTTCCGGGTTTCCAGGATTAGGAGTTACAGAGGCATCATCACAATGACTAACATAGTTAGAATTGCTGAAAATTTGATCGGCATCAGGCAGTGAATAGTTAATATATTGATTGTACTTGCTTGTAGAGGCAAGGTGGAAGGCTCCTGATTCATATCCAGCCACAGGTCCAGGACGACTATGCAGAACGCTGGCGGGAATCGGCACGACTGGGCTGGAGTAACCAGGAGCTTCCAAAGAGCGGTCTATTGTGCGTCCCGGAGATGAATTAGGATTGTTCGAACAGTAAAGCGGATGTTGTGAATGAGCAGTATCAGAAGTGCTTCTCAACTGGAAACAGCCGGCAGGTGCTTGAAGCGTTGCACTGGAACACGGAAACTGATCAGGCAAATGACTGTAACTAATGTATGCATACTTGCCTGAAGACGATGCTTGGGAGACCCCACCACCGAACTCGACCGCAGGGCCAGAACGACTCTGATGGCAGGAAATAGAACGACTTTGATGGCGGGAAACAGCTAGCGCGACTGGATCGAGTGGTTCGAGGTCTCCCATAATGCGACAGGCATTGCGTTCTGGTCTACAGCGCTCCGATTCACAACGCAAAATCCAATTCTGAATCAGCAGACTGGGTCTAGTCCGGAAATGGGAGTTGAGAACTCGGAAGGTCCCTTAATAGGAGAGATTGTGATGGTAGGCGTGTTCAAACGAGGCAACCACATGTTTTTTGAACCGTCTTCAAATTCACGGAACAAAATTCCTTTCGGCCATGTATCCGATCTAAGAGCAGCTTCGCGTAGTTTGGGATCCATTCCGACTTTGTACGAGATGAAGCTCATACGGCTGATGTCGGATCCTTTTTTGACTAGCGGCACAACCTTAATCGGATCTTCGCACTGTACACAACCTTTCACCAGCTTCTCGATTGATTCCGATTTCACGCTAGGATGAATACGAGAAAGGTACAGCCAAAACAGCTCGGTGGGTTCAGGGACAGTAAGGACCTCGGTAAAGGCATTGTCACCTGTTACTGCTTTAGAACCACCAACAAATGGTTTGCCTGTGAGCGAGCCTTCATCGCGGCGCCGTTTTAATGGCGGTTGACGCATGAAATCAGAGTTTGTCGGAGTTGTCAATGCGATTCGTTTTGATAGCTGAGCGATCTGCTGTTCTTGCTTAGCCATTTCCTTCCTAAGCTCAGCGTGTGCGATTTCCTGTCTCTCGGTGATAGAATTAATCACACTGCCAAACGACGAGACGGCAGTTTTGAATCGAGCACATTTCATCAGCTTCGCGCACTCGTTACACATCCAAAACAGGTTCGGGCTAGTATGGACAATGTTCAGAAAAGCCTTATTCAGCTTTGTTCCGCCACCCTTTAGGCGAATCATCCTGTCGCAAAAAGCCATGCAGGAGACGGATTCTTCGTCGCCTTTAACTGGCTTAGCGCATTGGTCACAGGCGGAAGTCATGCTGACTCAGTTTCCAAAAGTGATTTAGAAACAGCGGTGAAGATGCTCTAATACGCAAAGAGGAATTGGATTCTCGAGATCGCCCAATTCTAGTCGTGTACAATATGTCCGATTGGATAATGTTTTCACTGTTTTCACAACACAAAATATGCTCTAATTGGCCGATTATCGCAACGAACTACACTTTCCACTAACAACCAGTACAATATTACAAGTATACCGAACGGAAAAACACGAATAACGATAGCCCGTGTGATAAAAAAATGACATTTAGCAGCGCAAAATCACGACGATGTGAATAGCAACCAATGACATTTATATAAGGTCTGGGCCAACTGGCAGCTTGCTGGTGTTAGAAGCAAAAATGTTGTAAACATTGCTGAACATCTCCGAACTGATAGAAATACGTCACTGCCAACATACTGAGAACAGATAGAAATACGTCACTGCCAACAGCTGTTTCGTGTAAAAAGATAAACATTGCAATAAAATACGAACACCACTAAACATTTGCACATTTCACAAACACCAATAAGCCCTTTGGCCCAGACCTTATATAAACGTCATTGAATAGCAACAACTCTATTGACAGTCTTGCTCGTGTAGAGCACATAAAGGATCTCGGCGTTACCTTCACGGTGTTTCGCGAAAACCCATTAATGGGTATAAAAATACCCATTTCCGCTAAAAGTGCCCCTCCTCATTTAATGTGTAAACTATGGTTTACTCATAAATGGGTAAATGGATGGTCTGTCAATAAATGGGTGTTTTTTCACCCATTTTCTTATATTGTGTTTACCGTAAAATGGGTGAAAAAATACCCATTTTTACAAATGGAGGATGCAAGCGCTCGTTGATGTAAAAATGTTTCTATAGAACATTGAAAATAAATGCAGGTGTTCCGCTCAAATTTTGCATGAAACATTATAATACAAATTAACCATTGTATTGACTTATCCGTAAGCCTCTCCAACGTTTTGGATTCTAACATTTTAAGGAGATCGTCTATTTTCGCCAAATATGCTGCGGACAGTAATTGTTTGCATCGAGGTTTGCATTCCCAATGAGCCGGTGACGGAAATGAGACGATAAAATTTCGAAGTGTTTTTTCACCCATTAATGGGTAAAAAATATACCCATTATTCAAACGTGAACTGATTCTTTAAATGGGTATTTTTTCACCCATTTTATGATTTCAAAATTCCCCCATTTTTTGACAGCTGCATACATGGTTTGAAAATGGGTATTTTTTTACCCATTAATGGGTTTTCGCGAAACACCGTGTTGGACTGCAGACTCACTTTCAGAATCCACTACAATGACATCATCTCCAGAGCTAATCGACAATTGGGCTTTATTTTCAAAATTGCCGACGAGTTTCGTGACCCGCTATGCCTCAGGTCACTTTACTGCTCGCTTGTGCGATTATTATTGGAGTCAAGTTCAGTTGTTTGGTGCCCTTTCCATGCTAGCTGAATCACTAGAATTGAATCCGTTCAACGCAAGTTTGTGAGATATACTCTTCGTTTCCTCAACTGGCGTGACCCAAAGAACTTGCCACCGTACGAGGAGCGTTGCCGTCTCCTGGGAATCGAGTCATTAGAGGTGAGACGGACGGTCGCTCAAGCTATGTTCGCTGGAAAGCTGCTTACAGGTGACATTGACTGTCCAACACTGCTGTCACAGCCGGAATTATACACAACGCGAGCCAATTCGAGCAATCAACCGGCAATTCAACAACTTTTTTTATATGTTCGACTTCAATGTATCAGCTGACGTGTTTCGTCATCGGCTACTTGGCCTTTTCCGTACCGTTGACCGTAACTATTTAGTTTAAGTTCTATTCATTTAGACAATAATTGTCAGTTGAATTTTTCAATAAACAATAAACAATAAACGATAGTGCACTCAACAGATGGCGGTAGTGTTTTAGCGACGATGTTTTTCAGTGATACAGATTATATATGTTATGTCTGTTTGTCTATGGTAGCAATGTCAACCGCGAGATCAACGCCGATGGGGTACAGCTGCTGCTGCCGCATTCGAAAGCAGTAAACGTTTCAAATATCACTTCAAGAAAGGTTCTTTCATTCTACCCTAAGCAAATGTTCTACCCTACGCTAATTATTAGATAAATTATATATTTACGGCTTTCCTGCTTTCATAATAATAATAATAATAATCATAATAATAGTATATAATGATCATATGCAATATAATTACTGATTAATTAACAATAATCACCTATAAGTGCGGATGCCCGGGATCGATCGTAATAGAATGCTGCTCCCACTACAGTGTAGACATCGGCGGTCCCTATGATTCTTTTCTTTGTCTATAATATTCATACCGCCGTCTTCCTCGCAATTTGATCGACCAATATTTTCATTTATTCACTACATTACGCCAACCATCAATCCCGCATTTACCAACGGTCGGTAAAAAGCACATACATCGCGACGTAAAATCTCCATCATTTTGAATCTTCTCCTGTCTCTCTCTCTACAACGTTAATATTCTACAATTAGTATGTTTAGCTTTAGTCTAGAGCAAAGCGCGCGCACTACGTTTTCCTCAAATGTTCCAAAAAAGTTGCTTAAAATCTGGCGTTTATCGAATCTCTTAATATGTTTTTAGTTTTCCTAAACTGGGACACTTCCATTTTACTGATGGGTAAAATCTTGTTTTCTGTATTATTTAGTCTGTTGGCTCTCTCGTAATTTGTTCACAATTGGAACAGCACAGAGTGTAGCATTTTACTTCGTAATTGTTTATTCTATTGATTTCTTTTACGTAGTTTAGGCTTAAAAAATGGGATGAGTACTTTCGAGAGTTTCTATCTATGGTAGAGCTAGGCGGATGTTACCGGGGGAGGAAAATAGGAAACAACGGTAACGAGAAGAGCGAAGAGAAAGGCTTTTCATAGGAAAACTTGCTTCACACCTCACGGTTTCTATTAAATGACCTCCTTGCTGGGCGTGGAAATCCCCAGCGCTTCCTCGTAACCACTCATGCTGATCTTCTCGCTTTTGCTCGATTTTTCCTTCTTTGATTTCTTAGATTTTTTGTGAGCGACCTTCTCAGAACCGACCGACTGCTCGCTCGGTTCCTGCTGCCCTCCATTGGCAGCGTGCTGCGAGTGCTTCTTCTTGTGGGATTTCTTCTTCACAGGATCCCCCTCTTCGACGAGCAGGTTCACCTGACTTTCGACAACCGTTCGAGTCCCACTGGAAGAATGTGAGGAAGTTTTACTTACCCGTTCCTTGGCCGTCGCCGCCACCACCTGATGCTCGTCCTTGTGGTGATTTCGCCTCTCTCGCGTATCCGCGTCCTTGTCTTTGTTCTTCTTCTTATCTTTCTTGTGGTGACGATGCGACGATGGTGGCTTGCCTTCTTCCGGTTCGGCATTCGTAAGATTTTGTTTCGTGGATTTACTGCCACCGGAGGAGGCGGATGCAGGCGCCTCCGAAGACCGGGATATTAGAAGATTGCTAGCGGAGGCAGTTGACTTGCGAGAGTCTCGCACCGGGCGCGCGGTCTCGACGGGTCTGTTGTGGGAAAGAATGTTTAGTTAACTAACCCGCTTTACTCCCAGCGTCATTTGAACATGTAATGAAACCCCTTTGGATTTGTCCTCTGAAAATATCCTGTAACTCATCTTCAACACGCCCAGATCAACCCTAAATTTGTAATCGCAAAAAGTGCAGGAACTCAGCGATGAGTAAATTTGCATAATCTTTTCCAGGGAAAAAAATCCCGAATATGAGAAAAGTAAAGACTGGGTCTATTGGTACAGTCGAATGTCGCTCGTTAGTACTGATTCTTTTCAAAAGGGCTCATGGATGAACAATTTGGGCTAAACGATCATGATGATAATAAACAATCGGTGTATCCCCAAGCAATTTTCAGCTTTGACAGCTCAGCCCAACTAACGAAAGCATTACACTTAGTGGGCTATGGTTTATATTGAGGCAAATTTTTGAGGTACATGAGTCAAATTTACTCATGGCTGAGTTCCCGCACTTTTTACGATTATGAGTAAACTGAACTCAAATGTGGGTTGATCGCATTGGCCGTGAACTACAAAGTCTTAAAATTTCCCATCAATACTTACACATCCAAATCGATGTCCAGCGCCCGATGGGGATCATCCAGATCATCGGTCGCCTTGTCCTCCGTGTCGGACATGATTGCACCTTCCGGCAGTTCCACCACCGTGTTCACTACGTGTAGCGGTTTAGGATCTGCAACGATCAAAATCAACAACAAATTCCCATACTCAACCCTCACCCTCCATCCCGGCACTTACCATCACTATCGGAATCACTTTCCGCATAGTGTTGCTTACTGGTACCCTTCTTATGCCGCTTCGATTTTTTACCAACCGTCTTCTTACTGGATCCACCCGATTTGATGGATTTCTTCTGCTCCAACAGGTACTTGTCAGATCTTTTAGTGGCTGCCGATTAGAAAATTTCATGTCATCGATTAAAAACCAGTCAAACCCATTCGCAATGGCAAATGTCTTACAATGTATTTGAAGAGGAACCTCGAGGGCAATCTCGGCAATCGGGATATCTTCGTAGTTCTCGTCCACATTTTGATAATCTCCCGAGGAAGCTTCCTTCTTTTTGGCCGGTTTGAGATAATTGGGGTTGTTGGTTTGCTCCATGATGCGGGCTTCGCGAATCTGAAAACAAAACATTCGTTCAAACCCCCCTAAATGGAACTCGTTCGACACTTACCCGCCCAAGCTCTTCCTGTGTGTGCTCCTTCTTGTATTTTCTGTGTTCACCGTTCGCTTCGCGATCTTCGCTATTTCCGACGAACAACGAAAACTTCTCTTCGTCACTGGATTCACTACTCGCTTCCGGAGGATCGTTGATCCACTCGTCCAGATCCAGACCTTCTGGCAGTTGAACCTTCCGTTGCGCCTTCGGAGCAACCGGATTGAGATCTCCGACGAAGAGCTCACGAATCTCCTGAATCAACTCGGCCACTTCCGAAGGAATCGACGGTTTGCCCAGAACTTCCGCTTCATCCACCGTCGGGCCGATGTCGGTCAGAATGTCGGTACTGATTCCTCCGAGCCGTCCCTTGAGCATCTGCACCATCATGAACGCCGAGCTGGCACGTTCCTGGACTTCGATGTCTCCGGAACTCTGGTAAACCGGGAGTCCCTCCAACAGGAGGTCACAGTACTTCCGGATGTCGACCAGATTGTCCTCTTCGAGGCAATCGTGCACCAAGTTGGCAAAAAGCTTGGCCGCATTCTGAACATACACGGCTTGGATGTGACCCGGCACTTGCCGTGGCTGTAGTAGTGTGCTCAACGTTTGCTCCGGATTGTCCAAATGGCTTCCAAATTCGCCAACGATCCACGCTGCAGCGTACAGAACCTCATGCATGGTGCTGTTTTGGGCGGAAATCGGATAACTGGACAGCAGACCGGACATTTCGTTGACCGCGAAGGTTCGCACCGCCTGGACACGGATCGCCACGTCCAGCATTTGGGTAGCAATTACCTTGCCGTGCTTGGAACCGGATTCCAGCTGAATCAGCTCGACCATAACCGTCAGATACCACTCGAAGTTGGTCACGTACTGGTAGGAACCCTGTGAGCAGATCTCGATCACCTTGAAGAGCAGTTCATCCCGATAGGTCGAACCCTCCGCCCGTTCCATGTGACCCAGCAGGCGGCGTACGATTTCCATCAGATTCTTTTTGGAGACCATTCCGTAGAGCAGGTCCAGCGCCCGCAGCCGAATCGATTCGTCCTTATCGTCCAGACAGGCCAGGATGAGATCCTTGTGGGTTTGGACGCTCTTCGGGTGCGTCTTGAGAATCTTGGACATTGCCAGCAGACCAAGGTATTTCACTGGGGGATTGGGTGAATGAGTCAAAAAAAAATCCAATTTGCACAGACCGAAAAAGGGACTTACGATTTTGATCGGAGTCTTCGATGAGGATGCGTAGCTTCTGGACGCACAACTGGATGGAAGCGCTGTGATTGGGCATGCCGCTGCTGATGCTGATCAACACCGCGATCACCGTGTTGATGCACTCGTACAGAAGGCTCATGGCAGAAGTGCTGTGGAATTCCGAGTTCGGGGAAAACGGATAAGAGGTGAAAGGTTAGTTTCTCGAGACCATGTGGAAGGGAAAGTACAGATCTACACTAACTCAGGGTTTATGAACCGTATCTAACGGATGATAAAGATGTACATTAATTTGAGCCTACTTATGGGATGGAATGGCGTGCGCAAATGCGAAAAACTCGAGAGGTTTTTGACCAAATTTGCGTCAAATCGGACAGATTATTTGAGGCAACATTTGTGTGGATACAAAATGGTCAGAATTGATGGATATGCGGTCGGCCTGTGAAGGCTAACTGGAGTTTATTCTTTGAATAGCTGTCTCCGTTTAAGGCTTGGATGGAGCCTCGAAGTTTGACGCGAGGGATGTGGGCAGATCTTGTCGAGAGATTGAACGGTGGCTGGCCATCGAAACTTGAGGAAGTTTGCTCAAACCAGCGCTTCAGTTGGTCAGTAGAGTGGGTAAGCAACTCAAGCGTAACTTTTCGAATCGACGTACACACTAATCGAGTCAGTACGGTTTTACTGAGTTTTTGAATTGCGGAACTGTTCGGTAAAAGTTTAAAAATTTGTGGGAAATTTATTAATGAGAAAATTTGTTCTGAACTTGTGCATACTTAGTTCTGTTAACCCCATTTAATTATAGAAAATAAAATTGGTCGATTTCATTAATTCCTTACCGATAACGGTCATTTGAATTTTTACCGACTTTTTCAGCAATTCAAAAACCCAGTAAAAAATACTGACTCCTGTAAAAAAATCTTAGAGTGTAGGGTGTAGCACTACTTCGGCATACGACATCCTTTTCCGTCATACGCGTTAAAACAATGAATGAATGAATGAAGACAAACAGCTACATCTACAACAGCTAAATTCTTTGCTCACGAGTTAAATTACGAAAACAATTCTACGAAGCTGTCGGAGGACTGATTTAATGTGGGTGTGCCGAAGTGAATTTAATTGATTTGCCTTATGAAAAAAAATGTTGACAAAAAAATAATATAAAGGAGCAGATTGGAACCGAACCATGGACGTTGAGATTACGGGACTCGTGTGTTGACCTCTCGTCATTCAACGCTTGGGAAAATGAATTGGTTAAAGGCGAATAATAACGACCTCATGTTAGAGGAAAATCATTCATAAGTCACGCTTATGAAATTCATATGACGTGTCGTTCATAAGTCGAGCCTTATGCAATTTTTTTCAGTGATGGAGCCGTTAAAATGAACAAGCATCTATATCCTTAACCCGTATAATACTAGGTAAAAAATAAAATAAATTAATCGCCTGTAGTTCATTTTCAGCACTCACTCAAGTATATAGTTTATAGGAAAAATATGGTCAAATTGTTTCTGGCCACCAGGCCGGATTTTCACCGGTGGTTACCTGGATCAGACAGGGTAAAAACACCAACTTCCTTTTTCACTTTACTTACTTGCATATAATTGAAGGATTTTTTTATAAACTATAGCTCTCCGGAAGATTTGGAACATCCGGAACATCCATAAAAAGGATTCATTCTTAAAACTCATCCTAGAGCACCACGCTTTTTTGGAAAATGCTTGTATTTGTGTTATCAGACCAATTTTGAACTTGTGACCGGAATACGGACCCTGGGGGTTACAGAGTGGTCCTCTGGAAGGTCCGGAACTTCCATTGGAATTTTTCAAACTCGTCCGTCCTGTAGTGATTGAACAGCGCCACTCCGTTCGTGTTTCGTTCATGATCCGTTTTTCGCTTCTTGTCGTAGATCATTTCTAGCTGGTTTCCGATGTTTTCCGTGTTCGTTGCTTCTCCTGACGATCGCTTAGGTGTGTGCACTTTGCGGCTTCGCTCGATCTGTCTTGTCTGGTTTTGGTTACTTGTCTCTTGAGATACCTTCGCATATGATTTAGGTAGTGTTGGGAAATCCTCATTGTTTTCCAATAGGCTGAATTGGTTTTGAGTGTAAATAGGATATTGTTCTTGTGCTTCCAGTGTCGTGAGGTTTGTTTTCGCCATTATGACTTTCAGGTTATTTTGACGTTCGCGTTCGGGGCAATTAGCATCGCCTGATTTGTGTCCTTCTTGCCTACAGTGCAAGCATCTTTCTGGCATGATGTATTTTTCATAACCTTGTTCGTCGTGATTTCTTCCACATGTTTCACATCTCTGTCTAGATTGACAGTTGTTCCATAGAGGTAACTCTAAGACCACTGGGTCCCAAAGAAAATCATTATTATTTTTGGCTCACTCAGTACCAGAACAACGGTCCCAAGCAGTCCCAAGCTATTTCACTCACCCCTGCATGTTCTGCATGAATCCACACACCCCTGATGTTATCTGTCAAACTTTCATAGCGAATCAAAACAAACATAGTGTAGTAATAGAATTTCAACTAGAATAGGGTACGTTAATCGTTTGCTTGGGACCAATAGGCTACTAAAGCGGTGAGCCAATTTAAAATCGTTAGTTTCGTATTGATTGTTGGTTGTTCGTCCGGTGATTATATCAACCGGCGGAAACTAACGATTTTAAATTGGCTCACTACTTGACTAGACTATTGGTCTCAAGCAAATCGATTACCGTACCCCATTCTAGTCGAAATTCTAGTACTACACAATTTTTGTTTTGATTCGATATGAAAGTTTGACAGATAAAATGAGGGATTATTGGATTTTCCTGGTGAATCGATTAGCTTGGGACCGAAGAGAGTACCAGAGCTGAGCCAAAAAGTTGAGCACGTTTCTTCGGGACCTACTAGTCTTAGAGTTACCTCTGTGATTATCACCCCTATTCTGTATTTCGTTTCGAACGAAATTCTCATACAAAAAAATATGTGTATATCTTAGACAGTTTTGACAGAAAACTGCCTTGCTAACGAATGGCTTAACTTGATTTGTACAACAGAACATGCAAACTTCCAATCGCAACTGGTTGCATCTCAATGTCACAGCAATCCGTGTGGTTGGGATTTTGTTGCCATTCTCATACTTATGCAGTCGTGTTACGTTCAGAATTGGCATATTGCAGCTTATGTTCTCAAAGATTTCTTCCGGTGTCATTTCCAATGGAACTCCAGTAACAACTCCTGATACCGTCATGAAGTGCTTGGGAATGTACGCCTTGTAATTTTGTGCACGTAGTGTTTTGTCAGCCTAGATTGATTCGTTGTATTCGTAGGTCAGCCATTGCTTTCCATTAGAGCCGCTCGGCATCGTTCCGCCTCCGCCTCCTGGATCCGGATCGCCCGGTCCAGTAATTTGTCCAGTCTTTCTACTCACAGCTCTCCCTCAAAAGTTTCGATCTTTTCAACAAAACTTTTCTTCAGTCGAAACCAAAATTACCAAACTACCTAATTACAGCTCGACCAGCAATTACAAACTGTCGGCTTAAAACAACACGTGTAAACTCGCCGCTGGCTGAACCGCGAATGTGCATTTGATAATCAAAATCATCCCCACCAAGATTATTATGAACAGACGATAATGAATACTTCTTCTTCTTATTCGCATTTCAAGCTTATTGCTTAGCGCATATTAGCTTATTGCGTGCTCTCAACTTAGTGTTCTAAATGCACTTCCACAGTTATTAATTGAGAGCTTTCGATGCCAATACCAATGCATGAATTTGTATATTGTGTGGCAAGCACAATAATACTCTATGCCCAGGGAAGTCGAGAAAATTTCAAACCCGAAAGATTCCCTCGACCGGACCGGGAATCGAACCCGCCGCCTCCGGCTTGGTAATACCGTGCCTTTACTGACTAGGCTATGAGGCCCCATAATGAATACGCATCTTTGAATGAACAAAAACAATAGCTGTTGACTTTGAAACTCAGCGGTTGCCTTGATCAAGAGCATGTTATCATGTCAAAATTCAAATGCATTCTACCTAATTGGTTTATCTTTCAAGGTTGCCTTCATTTTCAGGTTATTTGAGTGTAGAAGAAATGATTTTTATCAGCACTGGTTCCAGATTCTGTGACAAGATATGTATTATGTATGGAAAAAACGTGACAAGGTCATTTTTTCTCAATTTTGGGAATGGACGTTGCATAGTTGTTACTGCGAGGCAATTAATTTAAAACCAAAACCATAAGATAACCACATAGTTGTATCTCGTTCGCATAGCCCCCTAGCTGACGTGGATACCAAGGCCAAGAATATGAAATGAAAAGTAGGGCAAAAGGAGCGAGAGCTCGTTTTACATAATCTAACTGCAGTAATTACTTAGGAATGTTTTTGCGTTCAAGTGGGATAAACACGCCCACGCATGGCATGCTTGCGCATCTAAAGGGTGATACGGTCAAAATTTGGTCAATATCAACTTGACGTATTTCTTTCAATTTTGCATTTAAAAAACCTGAACACCCCTCATTTTGAAGGTGTGTGTGTGTAGAATGTTGCTCCTATTTTGATTTTGGAATTCACTCTTCAGTTGTCAAAATGCCGTCCAAGCAAGAAGAGCAGCGTATCAAAATTTTGCTCGCACATCGCGAAAATCCGAGCTACTCGCACGCAAAGTTGGCAAAATCGCTAAAAGTTGCCAAATCAACCGTTACAAATGTAATTAAAGTGTTTGGGGAACGTTTGTCGACAGCCAGGAAGTCTGGATCGGGGGGAAATCGAAAACCGGAAGCCGCTGAGACGACAAAGAGAGTTGCCGGTAGTTTCAAGCGAAACCCTAACCTCTCTCTCCGAGATGCCGCAAATAAGCTGGGTGTATCGTCTACAACCGTGCATCGAGCCAAAAAACGAGCCGGACTATCGACTTACAAGAAGGTAGTGACTCCAAATCGCGATGATAAACAAAATACGACGGCCAAAGCGCGATCCCGGAGGCTGTACACGACGATGCTGACGAAGTTTGACTGCGTGGTAATGGACGACGAAACCTACGTCAAAGCCGACTACAAGCAGCTTCCGGGACAGGAGTTTTATACGGCAAAAGGAAGGGGAAAGGTAGCAGATGTTTTCAAGCACATGAAACTGTCAAAGTTCGCAAAGAAATATCT